AGAGTAAACAGCAACTCTTTTCCCTTTGTGCGCTATCATTAATATTGTTATTGCTTGTGCTACTAAGCCCTAGCAGCTTGTGTGTCTTCTCAAAACTGCTGAGCAAAGAGTGATTATCCTAAGGGTAATGTTAGGACTCTGTGACTTTTCTTGATTAGCTACAGCTAGTTTAGAACCCATTGTTAAATAGACAGGGCCAGTTGTTTTAGCCTGAAATTCTGCATTTTGAACTGGATTTTATTCTCCAGTCACTCTGTAGATAAGTATATTATGGAAATAATTGCAGCTGCCTTTAGGTTGGACCATTCTGATTTGGTACTTAAGCATAGATACTGAATTGAGGTACTGTCCTGGGTTAAGCAGAGAGTTAACTTTTTTTTTTTTCCTCTTCTTCATAAATAGTTAGCAAGAGGCTGTGTTTTGGGTTTATGCTCAGGAGAAAAGTTGATAAGACAGGAACGTTTATAATTATTGCTAGGATACTTCAAGGTCGTTCAGCCTCTTTGCTCTTTGCAGACAGAGCGGGGGGGCTTGGGAGGGCACAGCCCAGCTACTAGCCCAGGATTCGTTCTTCGGTTATTAGATTGAGAACCAGAGTGACCAGTAATCTATTCCATAACATACACATCCTGCTCAGTATATAGGTGAGGACCCCCGGAAGATCGTTCTCTTTTTTGCCCTTTGCTTCCTGGTTCCAGTGGCTTTTGGTTTCAGCCCTCTCTTCTGGCCCCGCATCGCTCTCCCAAGGCCTTCCCCGACCCCCCTCCTCCTCCTCTCTGGGATCGTTACCTGGGGCCAGTCAGGGACGCTGGGACTGTTATCTCTGTTCCGTGAGTGCCTCTGGGAGTGGTGCACCCCTGTCTGGGGAATTGTGAGTGTAGTTCTGGGATTGTTAGCCGGCAACAGGCAGGCTGAGCCTTTGGTCATTGGGTCGGGGGGTGGGGGGCAGTATCACTGAGTATCATGCATATTTGTATATAGTATTATTTTTAATATTATTGTAGTTTAGTTATTAAATTGTCCTTATCTCAACCCATGAGTCCTCTTTTTCATTTACCCCTTTAATTCTCTCCCCTATCATTGAGTGGGGGTAGGAACTGTGTGAGCGGGTGTGTGTGGTTTGGCCCCCAGCCAAGGGCTAACCCACTCACAGGTACTGACCTCTGTCTACCTTTTTTCACACTTTTTAAAGTTTTTCAGGTTGACTGTGAATGCTGGTTGCATTTTAATTTTGTACTCTTATACCCCCTGCAAATGTGATGTTTTTTGATACTTTGCTGTCATGCATTTAAAACCATCATGTACTTTCCATAATCAAAACCACTAAATAAACGTTTGCTGAATGCAAGATAGACCTACAGAGAATACACAGTGTGTGAGCTGACAGGCAGGACACAGGAACAACCCCAAAACCACAGGTGAAATGCAAAGAGTAAATTTATTCTTGTTACCGCACAAACCAGGGAATCCCTGAAGCAGCTGGAGCTCGGATCTTCCTAGAGAGAGAGCTTGAACCTGCAGCTTTTGCCTGTATATTGGGGTTTTTTGCAGGCGTAGTTTTCTGCTGTGCTTTGATCTTTCGCACAGCAGGGCAGGAATCTCAGGCGTTTTCTGTAAGGTGCCTCTGACTATCACAGACCTGTGTTATGTAGGCACAGAGGTTCGACTTGTGAAGCACGCAGGAGCTCGGATCTTCCTAGAGAGAGAGCTTGAACCTGCAGCTTTTGCCTGTATATTGGGGTTTTTTGCAGGCGTAGTTTTCTGCTGTGCTTTGATCTTTCGCACAGCAGGGCAGGAATCTCAGGCGTTTTCTGTAAGGTGCCTCTGACTATCACAGACCTGTGTTATGTAGGCACAGAGGTTCGACTTGTGAAGCACGCAAGACTAAGCAACAATTAGTATGATGTATGTGTTTTTGGACACCACTGCTGCAACTTACTTGAGCATGTTTACAATCCTCCTCACCAATCTTCCGTTATTTTCCCACATATGGTTATTAAGAAAAAATTATTACATGATTTTTAATTATGGACTTATTTCACATCACTTGAAATACTTGTGGAAGGTCGTTACTGTCTCTAATGCATCAAAATAGGCTGAAAGGGGTCTGGGGGATAGTACCGTTGTAAACATGCTTGTACTTGGCTTTTCTCGGTGTGTCTATTTAATATAAATACTAAGAGTGCTAAGACACTTTCATGGAGTAGTGATGCAAATTATGAGAAAAATAAGTAATCTCCCTTTCTGAGATTGTGATAGCAAACATTTCTCTATCCCCATCATTTGCCTTATGATTGTTTTAAACAGTATTTAAAGATGACCGGGGAAAGGATAGTGTGCGGAATAGAGGAACAAGGTGGCACATTGTAGTTTCTGGTTCCTCTGTTCAGAGAATATTGGGAAAGATACAAGAAAGAAAAAAAGCAGAACTTCATCTAGGTGTAGAAAAAGGCTCAGCTGTTCTATTCTAAAGGAAAAATGTTTTCAAGTCCTTTCAGAGTAATAAGCAATCGATAGAGAAACATCTGTGTAAAAAAAAAAAAAATTGTAGTATTTATACTTTATTTCATGTCTTAAGTGTGTGACACTTGTAACTTTTTTTTTTTTTTTGCCTAACACAAATGTAACATATATTTGAGGGATGGTGGTTTAGAAGTACAGTGGAATCAAAAATAGAGCAAGGTGTTACGTAGTGGAACACCACCTAAACTGGGCCCTGACCCTGGAGGGCTAAACCCCAGAGCATCTTTGCAGTATGTGGGGGTACAGCTGCAGCACCCAGGAAGCCCAGGGACAAACCAAGGACTGACCCACCCATGGCTCTCTGCAGTTGGGCTGCAGCTGTGCCAGGCAGGTGAGAGCCCCCCAAAGGGAAAGGGGCTTTGCCTGTCAGTGTTACCTATGTGAAGACAAAACACAAGTGAAATACTTCTGTATGTGACGCCAAAAGATGCCCTGAAGTCCTGTGTGCTGTGGGTTCCTTACAGGAACCTTCTCCTGGACAAGGCTGTTGAGGGTTGGGTTGGAAGAAGCAAGTGCCAAACGCCAAGAAAGCTTTGGGCTGGGGAGAAGAAGGCTGGGAGAGCTGCCAGGCACTGGAGTACTGGCAGAAATAAACACTCTTGTGTAGCAAATGCATCCAAAGTTGATAACAGGGTTTGAAAGGAGAGGAGTAGTTTTCTGAAGGACAATGTTGCATTGTGGTTTCAGGTCATTTTCCCAAAGACTTCATACCAGCTTCATTTGCGCTTTCTCCCCCTCCCCCCACAAGGGGTCAGACAGAAAAAAGCAATTTACTGTAAAACACCTTACACTAGCTAGGATGTACCCTGACTTTTATAGAGTATCTTTTGTTGTGTTTTTACACCCTAAGCAGAAATCAACAGAAACCAGAAATCAAATGACAATTTTAATAGACTTTAGAACAGAGTGTAAGAGTATAAAACACTGGTTTTGTATTTCAAAAGTTGCAGGAAGATAGCCAGTCATTTTAAACAGTCTTCTACAAAACATATGCTAGTAGATTACATAAAAGACACTATATACAATATAAAAGAGCAGAAAACAATCCTCACTGTAAAAATAATTTAAAACAAAGTATTCCAATTTAAAATATCTCCTATAGCACAAACTAATACATTGTGACATGCAAGTTAAAACTAAACATATTGCATTCTTTAGTGTAGCCAAATAAGAGCCATATTAAATTTGGACAATGAGACAACATGCCAACATTTTCTGATGAATACAGGAGGCTGTTCTTAAGTATTTATTAATTGATGTATCTTATGTTCAAAGAACAGCTACTATACATCTTCCAAAATGCAATAAATATATTAAAACAAAGTATATGAATAATCTACATTGTAGAGTTCATTTGGGCCAATGTTGAAAAAAGTGGTTTATAGAAAAATGCTGTTTCACTTACTACTGCACTGTGCAATTTTACAAAATAGTTCTAAAGGCTTGGAAACAATCCACACTTGAAAATTTGCAACATCCAGTTTTAAGGCAGCCTAGCACTTGGATATGCAATGGAATCAGTTGAGCAGCTGCTTTGCTTTTTAATATGCAAGGTGGAGCTAGCAGGTGGAAAACTATTTGCCCAACCTGAGGCATGACCTCAAAACAGTGTGCTTCCAGGCTAGATTGTTAGTCTGTGCTTTATCCACTCAGCAGTATAAGCAGAGGCTCTTGATATTTGAGTTAGTTTCTCCTAGTTTTGCTGCATCAATAAATAAAAAGGAAGAGCTGATTTTTTTTTTTTTTTGCACTCTCTCACATGCTGGTAGAAACACTATTCTGAACTCAGCCTAGCTTCCACAGAGCATTGCCTTGGCAGTTTATCAAATGCTATTTTTAATGCAAAGCTGCGCTATATTTGACTTCTGTATACAATGTGAAAAATGTCTACCATAGGGGACCCATTTTGTTTAAAATGCCAGTATTATAATAGCTAAGGAGCCAATGTCAACATTTCCTTCATGTCCACAGGAAGTATTAAACTCAGTAACCTAAGCATTTTCACAGCACTTCTTGATCAGTCTAAAAAACATAGCATTTCTCAAGTGCTCGCTGTCATGTTTCATTTCACTATCTACTCACATTTAAGTATGTCTCAAACATACCAAGTAACTGTTAAAGCAAAAAATTAGCTGCCACAGTAGGTCTTAGAAAATGCCAGTGTTTAATGACAGACTAGGAAAGAATGAAAGGCTTAGCAGAAGCATGAGGAGGTTTTAAATAAACCCAACTGTTACAAAGCAAGAGGTGTGAAAATACCATTCTTTGGTCTAAATTAGCTGTTCCCTTTATATCAGTTTAACATTCCAATGGCTTTTTCAAAACTGTTTAAAAATAATATAAGCTGAAGTTCATTAAGCAAAAATATGCATTATATACATGGATGCCTGATCAGACAGATGAACTTAAAAGTGAACATAGTGACAATTGTTTAGATATTTCTAGTACCTCAAAAAAAAAGATGAGTTAGTGTTGAGTGCGCAGTAATAGAATTTTATTGAAAAAGGTAAAAAACTAAGCATGAAAATCTGTTTTAGTTGTTTATAAACTATATCCTTATGGTTTTGTTGCTCTAAATTCAGACGTAAACATTCATTCTGACATGCCAAAGCTCCTAATGCTGGTGGAAAGTAACCAGTCAGTGATCGCTTTACAACTTGTTGCTTGGATGATCAGTCCCCGCAGCTTCATTTGTATAAGCTGCTTCATCAGCTGCCGATTCATCTTGTTCAATTCCATCTTCCCCGAATCCAGGTTCCTCTTCCCTTTCCAGAGCATCCTCATCCTCTATGCCATTGTAAAACTCTTCAATCTCACTCTCATCCTCCACATCTAAGCTCTGACTACGACATGAACCACTTTCACTACTACTCCCGCAAGAGCTAGAAGACATGATATCATCTTCAGAATCTGAGTATACCTCAGCACCATGGAAAATATAGCGATTTGGTGGTAAAAATAGATACTGAGTACCTGAAACAGAATTTTAAAAGTCAATAAAAGTCTGAAATAAAATATTTGTACACGATCTTGCAGACTTCTGGTTAGAAGGTATCTGTGTATATGTATTTTCAACGGTGAAACTTAACTGACAAATCAGATTACATTAGAAACACATTTATTTCGATGTATTTGCGTTTATTATGACACACAAAACACGCTCCACTGGAAAGCTCAGCATTCCTTCTCCCCCTTCCCTCTGACACAAAACAGCATTTAAGTGTTAATGTTTAGCAGCTTTTTTCATTGGTACATGCATTCACAGCTAGATTTCCATTATTTGTAACACAACTGGAACCCACCACACTGAGTATTTCACAAAGTTTAAGAACAGCTTTTGCTGTACTTCAGTACCTGGTTCTTCATCCACACCGATTTTCTAGTGTGGTAACTCCTTACATCAGTTAAGAAACTATAAACTGGAGGGCTTCCTTAGAAAGTCTAAAGTTTCATTCAAAGTGTGCGTGGCTCCATCTGTGAGATTTGCTTTTCAACTCCTGTCATCTTTCAGTTCTACTGCTGTACCAAATTATGACCTAGTCTGACCAGCTTGTGAACACCTGAGGATCAAACTGATTTTTCTGAAAATGCATCTGAAATTGTTGGAAATTGATTTATTTTTTGATACCTACCTTCAAGCTCCTAAACTTTATCTTTTTAGGGAGTATGTAATTACTAATTATAAAACTTATTATATGAGTTACAGAACAAAATTCCTATTGCCTTTCCAAAAGAAATAAATGATGCACTGATGAGTTATGTAGAAACTTGTCTGAACAAAAATAACCACCAAATCCCAAGGGTAACTTATTTATTGATTTAAACTAAGTCTAGAATAAACATCTTGGCCAAAAAATGTAAAATACTGACATAAATTAACACTTACCATCCAGCCTTTTGCTAATCTGTTCTTTTGTAGATCTGTTTACCCAGCACTTCTTCAAAATTTCATTTTTTTCTTTATTTTCTCCACTGTTGGATCCATTTTCCTTCATTGTTTCAGAGTTCATTAGTTCACTAGTAGGATTTTCAGGGTTTTCTGACGATGTCTGTGTGTCCTGAAACTCTTCCTCTGTGCAGGTCCCTTTAGTTTCAGAGGCAGGATCACAATTTTCTACCTTACATTCAGAGAGGTCTTCTGAAGACACCACCAAAGTATGTGGTGGAGTCATTCTTTCTGGTGAACTAGAGTCTTCTGAAATGTTTAAAGGTGTAGGTGGTAGCTCAGCTGAGTGCATTTCGAGCTCCTTGTGCGGTCGTGGAGGCTTTTCTGTTATTTCTGAAAGTTTTACTGAGTTGTAGCAAAGTTTTGTATATTCACTACCTAGCCTTTGACATAATTCATTAATAATAACATCACAGTCTCCAAGAAGCTCCACATCAAAGTGTAGATGAGGCAAAGGTTCCCTATTAATTAAGATTTGAGGCACTTCATGGGGTATGGAACCTATAGATAGAAAAGATAATTCAAAGGTAGTCACTTCAGTTTTACTTTCAGCGGAGATATAATTAGAAAGCTTGATTCCTCAGCTTCATACCTTCACTTGAGACAAGACCAAAACAGATCAGGAAAAAGACAAGCAAATCCCAAATTTAACAACAGCAGCTTGAGGTCCTGTGCCTGCTGTAGCCTACCTAAACTTTTTTCCCCGTTTTTTCCAGTAAAAAGTGTTCTACTGAGAAAACATGCACAGAAATATTGACTACAGTAATCTTTGCTCAAGTGTTAAAAAGATTATTAGAATTAGTACTATAACCTGTTAGAAGAATTAAGCTGATTTTGTGCATTCATTTCATGTACTTAAGTGCACCTGAAGAATATACTGCTTGTAAATGACATCCCCTTAATTAGGTCAAAATATTTCCAGGTACAATCTACACTGTACAGCATTGCTCAACCCATTTCTGACATTTAGACTTCCAAAACCCACCAGTTTGGTAGCCTAGCATTGATTCCTCAGGTAACCAACTCATGACATCCAGTTCTAGGACACAGAAAGAGCAATGGGTTGCACAGTGGATCCTAACTTTCCAGTTCTTATGCATTTCACATCTGCCTAAACGCTCGGCTCTGCCTCTTGTGTAGCTCAGAGGATGTCACTACAAAGGCCATGGACACATACAGTTCCTGGTTAATAGGAGATGCTAAGCACATGTTCTTCTTGGGCTTACACATGAAGAGAATTTCTTTTGTACCATGAAGTCTTGCACTCAGTAGGCAAATAAATCACCTGCCACTGTATTTTCTCAGCCTTCCTGAAGGGCGTTTTTCTATAACATATATTAGTAGAGATGTTTTTCTATGCCTGTATTACCTGTGATGGCAATTGGTGAGTGATCCCTCCCTGTTCTTATCTTGACCCTCGAGCCTTTTGTTACATTTTCTCACCCCTGTCCAGCTGCAGAGGGGGAGCAATAGAGCAGCTTGTTGGGCACCCAGCGTCCAGCCAATGTCAGCCCACCACACAGCTTTACATAGGCAATCAGTTGTCATCTTAGAAAACTACATGCTTAATGTAGTTTCTTCACTGAATCAAGCCAAAAGCATTTCTTAGAGCTTGTAACTGAGAATTTCACTTTTTGATCCAGATTTTTGGAAGAAAGTATTACCAGAGATAGTCACTTACTTGGAATCAATGCTACTGGTCTTACTTTCAGTGAAGACCCAATGACAATAAGGAGATCAACTTCATTTTTGTCATACTTCATGGCACGATGGAACTGCTCAGGTAAGTTCTCTCCAAAGAACACTATGTCTGGCTTCATGATTGCGAGTGGTTCATCAGGTGGACATCTGGGACATCTCGGTACAACCTGCATTAGAACAGCTTCTTTTACTACAGTTCAAGGCTGCGCCCTTGAAAACCTCCAATTTTAGCAAGTGACAGTGACTTATTTTGGCAAAAGACAAGGATGTTTCAGTGATATTTCCTCATTTCTTTTTTTTGTGGATATACAGACAAGTATATTTCTTCTAGCCTGCAGCAACTACACAGAAGAAATAAAACTACACCAGGAATAAAGAGGGAGTTTTCTTAAGTCAAAAGGGAGAAACCATGCAGTTATTATCTGACAACTAAGCCAAAGTCCAGAAGTCATGCTCAGCACCAATGAGTAATTACCTCCTATTTGTCAGGAACATATTTTTCTTGGTTTAATCAGTGTAAAAACTTAAATTTTGCTGTCAGTTTCTATTATAGGATCTAATATAAACCTCTTCCTAATCAAAGAGTATATTCTAGAGCTTTACCTCTCTTTCTCTTCTCCTCCAAAAGGGCATGTGTGTTATACACATAAAGCAATGTGGCACTGTAGCAGGTGGCTAGCAAAAAGCATACAGGACAAGAACATAGGAAAGAACTTTTGGTCTCCATTTTAAACTTTTCCAGTTCCTCCAAAACCAGAGCAGAATCCTTGTTCACTAAAAAAAGTGGATGAGAGTTATGTTTGTGGAGAACAAATCCTTCTGAAGCCAGAGGATTTTCTGATCTTTGGGACCTCTTTCAACTCTTTCTGTTAAGACTTTTTCAGAGAGAGGAAAAGCAAGAAGGTGAGCAATACATATATGGAAAATACTTCAATTACTACTGAGCAATTTTTCTTTCAAATAGTTCAAGTCTTCTCAGCTGCAGTGCTAAAATACGATACCCCAGAATAAATATAAAGAGCTACATGTAGCTGCAATCCTGTATCAGTCATCACAAGCAAATGAGTGCTATGTAAAGGTGTAGAGATGTATATTACCAATTGTAATAAAAATATATGCAAAATGACATTTAACTGCATAACAACTCTCTCTTGTACAGAAACATATGGAAAAAATACAGAATTTATAAAATTGAAATTGAACTAGTTCATGGATGCAGTAGGACAAAAGAGAATGCTTTCCAAAAGAGAAAACATCACAAGTAAAAGGCCTTCCTCTAGTATCAAAGGCTCTTTCCCAAAAATTTAAGTCTTTGAACAAAGAATCCAATCCTTCTTTGAAGAAAACCTGGTGGAACGGATGCCTGAGAAGAAAAATGGTACAAGAACTAGGAACTGGCTGACTTTAAGTGGTGCCCTGCACTTTCAGTTGGAATCTTAAGGAGGGAAAATAATTTGCTCTGTATTAGGAGGAAGATGAAATTAAGACCTCTAACTCTTGATTTAAAGAGACCCAGTAATACTAACTCTGTTTCCATCATTGTTCACAGGAGGTCCCATAACTCATGACTTAGTGGATCTCTGTAGAGCCACTGATGTCCCCTATCCAAACCATCTGAGTCACTGTCATGGGCCCATAAATGCGTTTCAACACTACACTACTCACCGGCTTCTCTGCTAATCCTCAGAAAGGTCATCAGTAAGGGGGCAGATCTATTCCCAGAGCTGAAATTGATACCAAGAAGTTAAAGCTAGATAATTGGCCACTCAATTGCCTAGGGCCCTCTCTCCCTCCAGAAGCAGCACTCCCCCAAAACCCCACCACCTCTGCTGATATATTTGTCTAAGGAAAGAGAAATGGAATTTCTCATTGACTATTGATGTGATCAGTATATCAAAAACAAGATCAGCAAAGATGGTGTTAAGAATATCGAAGAAGTGATGCATGTTTTCCATTTCTTGGGCTTTTTCTTACTGAGACCCACTCAGTATTTCTTGAAGCTGCCTAAAATAGTCAAGAGCCAAGTAAAAGTGATATTTTTGGAAGTGACTGACAATTGTCTTACTCTGAAGTTCTGTGTGATTTATAACTGCTACTTCCCATCCAGAAGGATGGTTGTGTACAGCAACCAAGAGAAAGAATCATGCTACAGGGAACTACCATGTTATCCTGGAAGTGGCAAAAGAGTGCAGAGCAGCAACAAGAAATTGGTAGTTTTCTAAACAGATTATCTCAAACAATTCTCAGTCTATAGTATGTTGAAAGGAAATCCTGTCAGAAAGATGCTAGCCAGACTCACTTCCTTGTGAAGCTCTTATGACCACCAGAGGATGGATCAGAGCAAAGGAAAAAGAGTATTTTTACGGAGAACTAAGTACTAGGGCCATGTATAACTGAACTTTCAAGTAGTAGAGGACAGCAGAGGCTGGAAACTGAACTGTTTATTGGGACCCAGGTGCCAAAACCATTTTTGTGAAGGAGGACTTATTAAGAGAACCATGCTGTTGAAATGGACAGTGTGTTGTTTTGTAAGTACAGGAAAGGTTTCTTTTGATATCTAAGGAACCAAATTCTAGAGAGGCAACAGCAAAAGAAACTGCATAGCACTGGTTTGAGAAATGCAGGCTACAGAATAAAGATAATGATGGCAAACAGAACAATTTTTTTTAGGCATAAAGGAGGAAAGATATGTTTTCTTTCAATAGCTCTATCTCTTGTGTGAAATTGTATTTGGCAATAACCATATTTATATGGCATTATGAAAATAATTCAGTATTACAGCTAGGGCCGGCCCTGGAAAAAATACATCTGGCAATAGTACTGTTAAGATTAGGGCTGAGAGATTGAGTGCAAAATGCTCCTTCAGTCTCATCTCAGGAGTAAGAACCCTCTTTGTTCTCATTATGCAGAAGTGTTGCCACAGGCTGCTTCTCTACACTTCCCCACGCTTCCACTATGGACCCCCAGCAGGGGGGCCAAAGTTTATGATTAAAGCCTTTTTAGGAAAAGGAGGCCTGACTATTAACAATCAACACAGAAAATTGCAACATGCTTAGGAAGGTTGTTTAGAAGGAAGAAAACCTAAACTCCAACAAGCTAGCTTTGAAGGTAAAGGAGCAGCAAATATCTGTAAGATAAAAAGTTCTCAAAAATAATATTCTTAATAGCAAAGTAAACTAGATTTCACATTCAATATATCAGTGTTACAAAGCTTCAGGCTTATGAGATTCACATTTCTTAAAGCTTTTACTCAAACATCTCTTCTGAAAGGCTTTCATGGAGTTCCATTTCAAATGTAACACCCGAAAGACTTAGATGAGAAACATGGAAGGGATGTAAAGTTGCAACTGTGGACTGTAAGCATTTAACAAAAGCCATGAGTCTCCAGGAAAACAGTCCCCTTCCATTTGTATAAACAACACCTTTCTGATGAGAGAATCACCATCTCTGTTCCTTCAAAAGAAGGAGAAGAAGAGCAAAGAGGGTATTGCCAAGCCAAAGGTTCACCTGCTCTGACAGAGCACAACTGACTCCCGCCTCGACCCTGGGACACTTCAAACCCAGATGTGGGGAGTTCAGCATATGGAATAGTTTGGAAGTCGTAGAAAGCAATGTCTGACATCTCATTTGATCTTCCTCCTTGGTCAGAGGCTGCTCGGCCATTAGCAATTTCTCCATGCATCTTCTACTGTTTAAACATATTTTTAATGTAAGTAAATGCTCAAAGAGCAATCAATGTTATAAATAGCTAAGAAAGCTTTTTCTGTGTGACTGAGTTCAGATTAATATAAAACAGATAAATCCAACTTTCTACTTGCCATTTTAACCTCTACTTTTCTTGGAGGTGCCATTAAAAATGGACTTTTATTCTGCTTTTTCCCATGACCTAATTTTTGCAGTATAGTATTTGCATATACTAGAGGAAATGCTAAAATAGAGATAGGCACTTTTTATTAAATATATGTAAAGATATGTAGCCTTTTATAAGCTGATCTTTTAAGGAATCCAAGGGCAGTGTTTTGGTTTTTGGGTGAATTACTTACTAGAAAGCTGCAGTGAGTTAAAGTAAATTTTTTACCTGGTTGAAAATATCTCCTCGTACAACTTCACAATCAACTTTGTATTTACAGATCAGGCAGGAAGCTGTTGCAAAGGAACCTGGGGGAAAAAACCCACACGGTAGAAATAAGGACTTTCAGTCATTCAGATTTGGTCTTTTTGCCCAAGCTGTTTTGACACAAAGGCTGTTATGTTGCAGTGCTAAAAATCAGTCATTAAAAAGTAACGTAAAATTAAGAGAAGATACTTGTAGTACTAAAAGTAGTTCTTCTAGATGCTAGTCAGCAGAATCTTGTTTTAGGAGTAGTGACATACCACATGCATGTCAACACAAGTTATATTGTGTCCTCTTATTCCCCCAACCTGTGCAAGCATATACAAGGAGGGGAGCACACAGCCTTCCCCTTTCCTCTTTACACAACTAACAGCAGTGACGACAGCTCTGCAAACAGCAGCAGCAGAACATGAACCCACAAGAACTCCAGAAACTGTAGGGCAAAATAACCGAGAAAATGCATTAGTAAAGACTTCACTATAGACAACTAAACAGCAGTACTGTTCCTTTCAGCAGAGGCGAGAGGTTACAGCTGTATTGCTCACATGGAAATACTGCTCTGAACTTGGTACCCAGCTTAGCTACCATGTTTATTAGCTGGCAAGACGGTGTTAAGTTCGTTGCTCCATCCAGCCACTTGGTAGCTCTAACTGGCCTGTTTCTGAAGCAGCTGAAGGTGATGCCCGAGTGTCTGGTAGAGCATTTGTGTCTCTCTCTGTCTAAAGGGAAAGCCTATCAAGTGGCTAACACATAGACATGAAAATACAGTGTGAAGTCACTGTGGCAAACTAGAGTGGCCTTTTGGTGCACGTACGTCCAGGAGAGATAAGACTAAAAGGCCTTTTTTTTCTGCGGAACTAACAATGCTACAAGTTGACAGAATGCTGAAGAAAAAGGTAGAAAAAAGAAAAATTGACAGTTTTTCTCCTATGAAACAAAGGTTAAAGAAAAAAGGGGGGGGGCGATCTTTGACCCTGCACTGGAGTGTCTCACTCACAGTAAGTCTGGAGCTCTATCATGTCTAATGGTAATAGGAGGGCACTAAGAAAGCCCTGTCACTGAGTAATGTACAGGGGGGTACAAAAGTCTCTCTTCAAAAGGAAACTTTTAGAAAGGTAACCATTAGGGTGTTGAAAGCTTTGCAGAAGCTAGCAACAGCTGAAAACCTTTGGCACCAAAACTTTATCTGGAGTATTATTTTAAGCGACCCAAACCAAAGATGTTTTCTGCTCATAATCTACTCACAGCGGTGAACCAATACTGACACTCCTAAAGGAAGGGATTCTGGGGCTAAGTACAACACCAAAATATGCTTTGGAGATATTGCATCTGGGTAAAACAAAGAGAGTGAAAGCACAGAAAAACTTGGAGCAGATCATTTATGAACCACTGGCAGGCAGTTCAGGTCTGCTAATCACTGTTGGCATGGAAAGCGCACAGCTTCTGAAATGCTTGCTCAGCACTGCAGCTCCCAGAACTTGAGGGGTTCCAAAGACTACAGGAAGTATGACAGTTATTTGCTCATTAGAATTTAAAGTAATAATTTAGGCCTTTATACAGTGTGTTAGGAACATGTCTGTCAGGCTTGCAGACCTAATCCTGTCTGAGGCATCTGTTGCTACCTACTTGCAACTCTGCTACATGAGTTATTTTTCATCATTGGAAGGACTCAACCCAGAAGTTATGCTGCCCGGTGCATGAGCTGTGTGCAGCCAGCAGGCCATGACCTCTGATCTTTCCGCTACAGCAATGGCAAGGAACATGATCTAATTCCAGATGTGTTGGTTGAATGCAATAGCCTTTTTAAATTCAAAAAATGCATCTAAGATAGAGTACTTTTCATAGCAGCAAGTTTACCATAGGTCTGCAGTGTGAAATGGGTTCAAAGGTTCATGTATGAACTCCCCAAATCACTACAAGGTTCCTTGTCATTTGGCACACCCATGATTAACTTTCCATTCCCGCAGCTAGACAGAAAAAGACAGAATAAATGTAGCAGTACGGACCCTTACATACGGGTTTCAGTTTCTCTTTAGCTACTACCATTAGTCAACTAGCTTTTGTCAAAGAGCAGCATAACTGTATGTCAGATAAAGATCAATGTGCTCACAACAACCTTTGCTAATTTCCAAAGGCCTCAAAATTGGCAAGTCCACAGCATGTTTTTAAAGAATCTTTTTAATTTAAAGACAGCTTATACAAGACATGCACTAAAGATGGCCTGAAATCTAATTCCTGTAGTGTGCAGCTGAAAAAATGGAAGCTTGAACATGCAGTGATGTGCAAAACCACAATCATATAGGGAGTTCAAGATAAATACCTAATACAGAATGACAAGCAAAAAAAAAAAAAAAAAAAATTGCACAGCACACTAAGTACCAATGGAAACTAGCTCTAGATTTGGGTTATTGCACAGGTAGGATTATACTGTGTGCTGTTTGGTCAGTCACCACAACAGAACACCATGCTTGCTCTGTTTGAATAAACAAAATTGACAAATTTGGCACTGAGCTAGGCTTTGTAGATAAAGATGCCAAGTGAGTTTGGTCCCTGGAAAAGCTGGAATTAGGCAGGCCTTACAAACATGCCAGCACTGCTTTTAAGCAATTTATTTGCCAGCAGTCTACTAAACGATCCAAATGTGCACTTTAAGAACTCATTTTCTGTGTCCTTTCCTTAAAAATGGATCCTTGGCCTTTTAGCTTGGCATTTGCAAGTCCCTGGAAATGGAAAGCCCTTGAAGCAACAAATTAAGAAATTCCACTTAATTTGGTATCATAATTGCAGAATGTGAATGACACTGAAGGTGTAACAAGATGATGTTCAGTTCAACTGAACTGATGATTAATCCACAATATTTTATACATGAGGTAAAGTCACTGAAGTGTCAGGCTGTTATGAGATTTCAGTGGAGTATATTCTAAATAAAGAATCGGGTAACAGCTAAACTCTGTTTCACTGACAGTGAGAGGGACCTACAAGAAGCGTGACTTCCACACTATGTTCTCATACATGAATATAAAGAAGCACCAAATACATTTTAAGACTTAAGATCTAAACTTGTGCAAACAGGGTATGGATCTTCACTGGTACACAAAGACCACTGTTTATCAGGCATAATTTCTCAAAGAAAGATTTCCACTTGAAACACCTCAGATTTAAATATTTAAGGTACCTAAAAAAAATTTCAACATTATAAAAGCAAAATATTTGTTGCCAAGAGATACCAATTCAAGAAAAAACCAAAACTTCATTCCAATAGCGATTACCTTGTCACATGCACCAGTAAAAATAATTCCTGTGCATAAAATAAGAATAATGAAACTAAAACCACTAACCATGACACTGTATTATCCTTTGGATTCCTGCAACCTGTTCCAATGTGTCTATGTTCTGAGTGTAGTTGCGAAGTAGTTTTCCTTCTTTATCCATCAGCGCTATGAACTTGTGACAGAGAGATGGCTGAAATTGTCCCGGATATATTTCCTAGGGAATGCAGAAGTACATTAGAAAGTGTAGATGAATACATCATGTCTTTATTCCAAGGCTTCTTTCAACAGCTGAGCTTCTGATTACATCAGCATGACTTGCTCCATGTGGAAGTTGGTATTTTGTACTTCACACCGCATAAAAGTTTAGGTCTTTTTCAGCTTTGAGAATTATGAAATAGGAAAGCTTTTTCTTTCTCTGGGTCAACCTCAGTATTTGTTTTTACAGACATATATCGTTTAACTGCAGACAGACAAAAATATCATGAGGAATTTGGATTCTGGTCTTTTGGTTTGGGATAAGCAGTTTTTACTCATCAGCATTATCAGCAGCTGATCCTAGAGGATGGAAGCCCGGAAAGCAGAATGACATTGGATATAAGGGGGCAGACAGGTGGTACTCAGACCAGCTTTGCTAATTTAGCTGGTTCCAACAGTCATCAAATTAAAACCATATGGCTTAGTAGAGCAAGTCCACTTTGCCTGACAGATGCTTAGCCTTCCCATTAGATCCAGGGAGAGGAGGTAGGTTTATATAAAGAGCACATGGAAAAAAATGTAGGCACTTTTGTAGAATGGTTTAATGTTTGCTCGCAGTAAACAAGGAGCCTGACAAAAGGAAAACTTAAATGGAGGCACCCAGCTGAAAGCTTGACACCAGGAGCCTCTGTCCAGAGCTGGCCACCCCGGGTGGTACCTCTGCTTGCTGTGCAATGAGGGCAGCAGCAGCAGCACCCCTCTCTTTCTCAGGAGCACTTACTGAGGGGAGGAACTTGAATTCAAGACCCTCTGCTCTCCAGTCACTCTCTCACCACTGAGCAGCCACTGGGAAAGTCAGGCCTTTTCCAGAAAAAGGACAAGAGTTACTGGCCAAAAGAAAGCCAGCAAGGAGGAGGCTGCTGCCTACCTTTACCAGCAGATACCTAGAGCTGAACCAGAAGTTCTAGCACAACAGTGAACTGTTGCATTAATCTTTGTGACAGCTCTGCCTTTAGCTGACGTATAGCCTAACTACTAACAAACAAAAAAGACTTTTTGAAAGCATTTGTTTTTCACAAAAATATTTCAAGTTACTCATAATTCTGAAGCTACATGGGTCTTTGGAATTATACTGTCGCAACAATCAATGATTGCTCAAAGTGCTATTACCTAGATTATGACTGGCCTATTACATTATTATAATCAGATATTCATGTGTTCCTAACAGCTTTTGTATCTTAGTCTGAAGAAGCAAGACATGTTCTGCCACTGAGCTCTGCAAATTTATTTGCCAGTCTTTGCCCCTAGAATTAAAGGAACTTAAGATTTCATGGAATAAGAAATCAATATTCTGAGTTGATGGACAGAAAAGGAGAAGTAGGAGAAATCATTTCAGTAAAAAAGTATCAGCCAAATTGGATTTGGCCTATTCTGGTAAAACCTGCATATAGACAGGCTTCAAATAGGTTGCGGGTCTTTTGTTTGTGCGGGTTTCTGTTTTGTGGCTTTTTAAAAATCTTTTTTAAATATTAAAAAGCCAAGGAACTGAATATACTAATGAGCATCAAAATATGTCGGTGCCTGGATAGGAGGCTTTCAAAGAAAGCTAAGCAGCTGAAGAATGCATTGATCTTTCTTTTCCAATCTTTAAAACATAACAGGGCAGTAGCATAAATTGTAAGCAAATGGAAGAAAGAGTGAGCATGATTAATAGTGACTGATTTTCACAAGCCCTTAGTAATTCTTATATTTTCATTTTGATTTTTTTTTTGTCCTGAGGAAATTCCAGACTAAATACAATTATTTTTTATTTCTACATATGTCTAGAGCTTCTGCAATTCCCTCTTGTCTCAGAGCTGTAGTCCCTGCATTTTAAATTAAACTGTTGAACATCACTAATATCTTTCCAAAACCTGCTACGTTCTCCCTTTTAAGTGAACGCAGTCCCTGCAAAAAGGCTTTAATTCTCTAAGATGTACAGATGCTTGTGACAGCTATATCAGAACCTGAAACAACAAACTTATTAATGCATTAAACTGCTTTACTCCTCTTAACTGAAATGCAGTGATAAAATGTGCATGGATTGTATGACACTGAACAGTGTGCCACAGCACATCAAATTCAACTGTAGCTTTCCACATTACTTGTGTGCTGGCCAGAAGTTTCTCATATTCTTTAATTTTTCAGAGAAAATAGCAGCAGCTAAGATTACTGAGGTTTGCTCAAATAAGTTTTTATTTATCTTCCCTGAAATTAGAGTCACTGACTAGATACATACACGGTTGTATATATAATGAACTTATAACAGGAACAGTAAAAATAAGCTTAAAAAGAGAATGTTGCTAAATGTTTCTAATAAGGCTAATATGTGGTTGCATACAATGACTGAAGTAACAGTGAGGATATAAAATCAATACACTGCAGAGACCTGCCCAAGGAGGGAACTGTTATGCCACTGAACAAGGTCTCTATTTAAGTAAATTCAATATATTAACACATTTTTCTCTCTTATTTATAAAAAGAAAAAAAGACAAACTATTTTGCTAACAGAAAATGCATAAATCAGATATAAAACTATTAATATTGTTATCTGTCTTTACTGACCAAGATAAGAACTGTTGGAAAACCATACCTTTGCAAACTTAAAAAATGGCCTGGGGTCCTTCCTGAAGTATTCAATATCAAACATCGCTTGAGGATCTGGAAGGTCTGGGAAGTCTACAGCAAGGCGTGCATAGATGCCATCTCTCGATCTAAAGTCAGGTATTCCACAAGACACAGACACCTGAAATATATTTTTGCAATCTGAAATAAGCAAAACTACATAATGGGCTATTAAAGACTTGCTATGAAATAAACTATTTGGGAAACCACATTGCTGTATGCTCACTGTGCTCAGGCACATTAACAACAAAACCAGTTTGGGTTCTCTGTATTTTTTTTTTCTTTTTGCAAACCCATATAACAAATCCCAAATCACAAGAAGTAGCACAGAAACAAAGTCTGACAACTGGGGAAAAGAACCCTTTAGTACAATCCACGCAGGCAGTAACAGGACACCAGAACATACTTTTACTACTGGAAGTTTCGTAAGAAGTGAACAAAAATTTAAAATACTGTTGCATTAATTTGATTCGTAACCATTTGTGGATCCTGTGTCTTAGGCTTGGACAAAGTGGTTGATTTTTATTTCTTTTTTACATGCTAATGCACTAACAGAATAGATTCTTACTTTTGACGCATAAACCCCTTTTGATAAACAAACATTGTTTATCAGAGCATTGTAGTAGTCAATAAAGACTAAAATTTATTGTCTCAGTGATTAGCTTTTGTATCAGGATCTGGTACACAGGTATAAAGCTGCAAATGTACAACACTTTAAAAATGTTCTTTGGTAAAACAGTGAGTAATCTTAGTGTCATCATAGAGTGGCACATATAAAGTAAAACTCAGTCTACTGAAAACTAATCCAACTCTCTTTATAATCCTCCCTCCCAACCCTTTTCTTTTTTCTCTTTTCAAGACCTGTTCTGTTGGTCCCTCTGGCTCTATCAGGTATTTTAAGAGATCCACAGAGATTTTGTTTAAAAAATTATAATCTTGGTTTCAAATGAGAAAAATAACTAGGACAGAAAATGTTCTGGAACAGGCAGATGTGATCTCATTGCAGAACTACTTTGCATGGAAGCAACTGTTTAAGAGTTTAAATGTTTAAGGATATTTTCTTACAAGAAGAGAGATCTTGCAACTTCCAACTTAAGCTCCAGTGTTGCAGTGTGCATCATTCTAATGGAGAGCTGTGCCTCCTCTTCCCATCTAACACAATTATTTGGTTACGAATGTTGCCAGGGTCACATAATCCGTGTGCTGTAAAGCACTGGACAAGCATTTAACTAACTCTCTATACATTCTCTCACTGTCACTGCAGCAATACGTACCCCAGCTCCAGTCAAGACCATTATTTTTTTGCATTCCTGTAAAAGTTTCACAGCGTCATCAATAGTATTAATGTCTTTTCGCTTTTTTCTCTTTGGCGGTTCTGAAAGAATGTTTATAACAATTTGCCACAGTGTCATATCATCCAGTTCGGGTGGGGGGATTGTTTCTGGTAGCAGGTCTTTCAGAATTGTCCGTGGGTCTGTACCTAACATGAGATGCTGCTGAACAAAAGTGTAGGGACCTAAGAAAATTTAAAAAATATAAATATTTAAAATTGAATGCAGTATTTCAGATTATTATGACCACCACCCCATTTATTAATGCTTGCTACTCTGATTTTATTAATCCAATTTAAGGCTTAATTCATCAAAACCCTGGTATGTTTTGGTCTAAATCCTGAAGTGATAGCCCAGCTAGGCTTTTTACTTATTTATTATTATTTTATGTTAACCATTAACCCATGAAGGATTTAATAAAAATCCCAGTTCACAGCAAACTTGGTGTCTCTTAGAGGTGCACTTATTGAGCAACAAGATTTTCACAATGTATCCCCATTTTATGGCTTCACTTATATTTTTCCAACATTTTGTAAGGCATTTACAGTAATGAGTTGAAGAGACAACAAACATACATGTATTTGCTGGTCATATGATAAAGCATCACTCTAAAGAGATAAGTAAGGCCCATCAATCCACTGGCCTTTGTTGCTCTATTAGTCAGTCATCTAACAGTAATGATTTCAGACATGACCTCCTAAAGCCATCAAATCAATAATTCCAGAAACAACCAAGAAAAGAGTGGTAGAAGAAAAATACGTAAATCTTAAGAAGCTAAACTGGCTCAGAGGACTAAAACAGCTATCACTAAATCTAGTCACCGGACATATAAAGACAACAATCTTTACACATATTTATCCAAAAGGTTCCGACAATGATCATGGAATGAGGGATCAGCAAAGACAACCCATGGACAGATTTTAAGTAGAAAATTGTGTTGTCGCAACGTGTTTTCTTGCTGCTATTCTTACCAACACTGCCTAAATGAATGCTATGGTACTACCCCTCCTGTGTAAGACAAAAGAGCTCAAGTCTCAACCCCACTGCACCCTGGAAGCCCCTGTCCCACACAAGTCACCAGTGACCTGAGCAGTTATCTTGCCTCTGTGCAAGGCGAGAACTTTCTACTGAGTTCCTAACTGCCACATTTAACTTATCTACTGCTAATATGCAGTACATAGGCAGCCTAATAGTTCCCAACCTGATGCATCACTTAGGACAGGGAACTCTACAGGCTGGATAAAGTCATACAAGAACCATCTTCTTGTTCCTTAAGAGTATTAATACTGTTAAGTAAATAGGCCAGAGATATGCCATAAATCTGATCAATTTAGTGAGTCTGAGTTTATGCTTTTAGTATGGATCATGGCACCATTTCTCCACAAAAAAAGACATTGACAATTTTAATCAAAACACAGCAAGTTTAAAGAGGTTAGTTTTTAAACTCCTTAAATAACATACAGAATACAGTCAAGAATTCTAAGATGCTCAAAAGCAGTAATTGCCAATTTTTTTTTTTGCAACTGAAATAATTTGAAGACTTGGAAGAATAAAGTAACTGCTCAAAGGCAAACAGCATCTAAGAATATTCTATAGGTATCTACCTATACGTGGTCTTGGGGTCCAATCACTGGAACTTGCATGTGAGGCTCGGTCATCTTCATCACTATCACAGGAGTGAAATCCATTGGCTATGATTTCATCACTAAAAAGGAAGTTATCTGCAAGACAGCACAACACTGACAGGTTACACTACAGCCAAATGGCACAGACATACATTTAAATATATTACAAAACATAAAATTGTATGCTTTTGAAGTTGATTGCAATGAATTACAAATATGCAGTTTTGTCACTTAGACACAGAAAATTTCTTTTTTTTTTTTTTTTTGAGTTTATCGATACACTTTCAAGACTTTGGTGGATTCACTGTCTTAACACTGGGCTCCAGTGGGCTGGATGTTGACCTTAGTGAAATTTTCACTCTATAAATTGCTGGGCATTAAGGTTTTTTGTATCTTAAAAACTAATCCAAGTATTTTAAAAGTACAATTAAAAAATCCTTTCTCTTTACAGTTCTTGCTTCATGCAGCTCAGTGAGAAAGTAGATAAAATGAAAATGTGTCACCGTTTATAGACCAATCTTTGACTAGGTTTTAAGAGCACAACATTTTAAATGAAACCCACAAATACACACTTGGATACAGCAAAGTTACAGGATGTTGTTGGGCTGTTACCTTGCAGCTGAGCTGCAGCAGGTGACCACATACACACTTCTATATCTTTGAGTTATGACAGAAAACGTGTCATCTTGAAGCACCTGCACTAAGTTTATCTCATCCATTTGACCCCGCAGCTGGGTTTGGCTTAGAGTATCACAGAGTTACTCCAGCTCAGCTCATGGCCTTAAGCCAGCTTAACTCAATCTAACTTCTTCATGTATCTGGATGAAGGAGTCCAAAGAAGAACGAGATACTTGTCTTACAGCATGGATTACTCACCTAACATCTAAGGGGAAATAAAAATTTTAACCTGAGCAGTTTATTAGAACATAGACTGCTAAGCTTTTGTTATCGGCTTTTTTAATCAGAAATAGCCACAGCAACTGTAGCTTAACATGTCGAAAATATAAGATTATTAGCAAAGCAGAGCAAGTTTCTGTCATGCTTTTTAAAGCAAAGAATCACTATAATAGTTTTCAATCTCTATTTGAATAAACCCCTACAATATTTTAGGTCGGTTACTTCACTTTACTCTTGAAGAACACCATGACTTATTATTCAGAGATGGACTTGTCCTGTTCTTTTCCTTGTTTGTATCAATACTTTACTCTGATTAGAATGGAATGAGGTAGAAGACAGAAATTTCCTTTTTGTACTTGCTGTCTTGTTCTCCTGAGACCACAGGTGCTCTTCTGACATTATGTATTTACAGCATTTCACTTCCACCTCATTAATGCATGAAGTCAGTGAAAATATTATTCAAAATATTGTTCAAAAAGCATTACAAAGAATAAAAAAGTTGATTAGTATACATCAGTAGGCATGAAGTACAAGTTTTATGAAAAGTACCTTTATGCCTATTATGTAAAGAATCAAAGTCTACATTGTTAAAGACTCATCACATACATGCCACACTGTTTCATGTTTAAGAAATACTGTGGCAGATACAAACAGGTTAAAGTAACAGTTTAAATTGTAACACTCCCTGTGCATTCACTGGACTCCTTCATCTAAGGCTTCATATAAGGCATTTGTAAGAAATTGACAGCTTTACTCTTGTGCTGTTCCAATGACACTTTTAAATACCAAGGCTGTTCCAAGCGTATCGTACAGCTCTGTTCCCTTTTGGACAGCTTCTGGACAGGCAGAAATTTTCTGCAGAGTTTTACAGAAAAATAGTAAAACATCCTTGGCTATGTTCCAGGATAAAACGTAAAGACTTTATGGCAGAATGCAGTATCTTATACCTTTTAAGAGGTCTTTCCAAAGCACTATCTTAAAAAACCAAAACAGACAGAAAAAAACCCCTCAAAACCAATCTGTTTCTATAACGCAATGCCAGCTAATTTCATACTGACACCACCCAAAAAGTGCTTCAAACATGATCTCCAGAGATACTTTGTAGAAGTTTATACTTCAGTTCTGTGCTGCAGTCACTGAAATCTTAACCAAGGCATTGGTCAGGACTCCTGCTCCTGTGCTTTCTGTGGAAGTTTCCAATAAACAGAACTAAACTAAACTAAAAAAGCAGAAACTGTGAAAGGGAAACAGGGCTGATGATTTTTCACTTTTAATAACTTGCTGCCAGCAACACAGCAAAACGTTTTCAGAAAGGAGAGCCGAACGGATCTCCTCCCGTGAAGTCCCCCACCAGAACCAACAGCCCTTGAGAAGGGCTATTACCATTGGGATCGATCAGATTTAGAAAAACAGACGCGGCCCGCCGGAGCTGGCAGTAAACGTTCCGGTTAGCCGGCGGGAAGGCGCACAGCCCGTGTGCGGTGACCGCCCCGCAGGCCCAGCACACCCCGGCTGGCCTGGCCCGCGGCAGGTGACACCGGGGCACCGA